TGAGTAGGTAGTGAGTTACTTTTTATAACTTTTTGGTGTAGAGACCTAAGTGGACTTATGACATCAGTTCCCACAATAGTTGTTGCTGACTTGTTTTCCTGGAAGGTCAGTTCATTATCTCAGTCTCTTTGTCCTGCCAGCTGCCCCCCATTAAGGAGGTTTTGACTGATCTTATCAGGGGTGTCTCAGGACTCCTGGCTGAAGAGACATCCTGCTTCGTCCCTATGTTTACCAGGTCACCTTTGTGGCTGCTCCATTAGCAGCTGCTCCATTAGCAGGTAGTAGCTGAAAGAAGTTTGCAGGTAAGTAGTACGTAGTGAGCACGTAGTAACTGTGGTTTTTACAATGCAGAGTTAAAAGAGGCAGTTCATTGTCATGGTAATTACTGCGTGCTAGAAATGATTAGAAAGTGAAACTAAAGAGTGAGAGTGACAAAATCAGGATGGGAGATTGTAAAAAGAAGAGAGAAAGTGGACTTCAGCAGAGCCGAAGAAGTTGGGAGGATGATCTTAAGGAGTTTCAGCTGGCAGCACACGAACTGTTGGTGGTACAGAGTGGTGTGTGGTGGTGCCAGCACTGCCATGGCCAATGACATCTGCTGTCACAGCTCATGCTGACCATGGGACCGACCCAGGAAAATGGAAAAAGTCCTGGTTGAAGAGAGGCAGGATGGAGAAGGGCTCTGGGAAGGGACGGTGCAGGAGCCGTTGTGTTGAGGACAGGTCGAAAGTCCTGTAGGTGAGCGGTGTGGCTGTGTTCAGTGAGTGTTGACTATGCTGCCTGGCAGACTTTTGGGGATTTGACAGCATTCGAATGTCTGCAGCAACTGCTACTAAAATTTTAAGGAAAAATAATAATAAAAAAAGACCAGGCAGGAAGGCAAACCTTTTTCTCTGTACAAGTAGTTCAAAAGCTGTGGGTTTTCCTCCCGGGCTGACTTTGGAAGTCTCTGTGAAGATAGATGAGCCAAAGGAGGATCCTGGATTTGGGAAGTCTGTTGTCTCTTGGCCTCAGCTGGCCCTCCTGATGGGCACCCAGCACCTGCAGGAGCCCTGAACTGGAAAGGGGAGCAAAGGCGTGCAGCTCCCGGGAGCCGTATGGGCCGTGTGTGTCTGCCCGTGGGGCACGTCCGCCCAGGCTGCCTTTAGCCAACGACTTGCAGAGGACGGAGCGGGACACGCTGAGACATTTTCAGGTGTAATCAGGGAGGAAAGGTCAAAGGAGCTGGCTTGGAGTCTAGAAAAGGAGGAGGAAGGTTTAGCAGCCGTCAGAGGAACGCCAGGCTCTTGGAGGATGACTTCTGCGCAGCCACAGCACGAGGAGAAGATCAGCCCTACTTGCAGCGTTGGCAGCTGATGTTTACAGCAGCAAAGGTGGCCGTTTTTTTTCTCCCTTGCTAGCAGGAAATCACCAGGACAGGCTGTGAATCCCCTCCCCAGAAGGATTTCAGGGCACGGATAACACCGGCTGTGGGTTCAACTGGGCCGTGCTGGTGCAGAGCCACGCTGGAGTTTCTCCAGCTCTCCTCGGTCTTGCAGCGCATCCCTGCCGTCCAACCTGTCCCGTGCAGGAAGTCGGTCCCGTCCCCTGAGGATGCTGCGTGGTGGTAGTGGCACATCCAAGCTGCTCAGAGGGGAGCGGACACTTTCACTTTTACTTGTGGTTTAGGCACTTTCACTTTCGCCTCCTCACAGCATGCACAGAGACTGACAAGGGCCTTCTGCTCCTGAAAATGAAACTTGGACGTGTCAGGGTTTTGCATGTGTTTGTGTGAGTGCAGGCTCTTCCTTAAGGTGGGAACGGATCCGAAGGAGCCCTGTAAATCCAGAAGGGGAGACGAGAGTCCCAGCGAGCTGCTGGGCTCGGTGCTCCGCTCTCTGGGTGTTTCATCTCATGTATTTCTGTGTTAATACAGCAAATTTGTTTTTTTTTTTTTCCCCTTTTGGACTTTCATTTTTACATTGCAGCTGAACTTACAAGGAGGAACAAATGTTTGAGTTATCACTTGCAAAATTGCTGTTTTTCTTGCATTTCCAAGAGCTTCCCAGGCTTATTTTTTTTCTTTTTGTTTTTTAAAGCCTTTAGCTTTTACCCCTGAAAGATATTGCACATCTGATGCTTTTGCTGATTTAAACCCTATACCCTCAATGTGTGTTCTGTGCCCAGTGGAGTCTTTAGTTCCATAATCTCTCTTTGTCAACTTCGTGTGTCACATACTCAGCGTGGAAACACTGGCTCCCAGCTCACATGATTAGACATGGCCTTTCTCATGCTCCAAGACCCCAAACCTCTTCATGATGAAGAGCTGCGAGACAATATCGGTAGGAGGAACAGAATATCACACCTGAAAAGTGAAATGGTTTGGAGCAGTAGCTGTGAAGTTAAATAGCATCCACTGCAGGTCTGTGCTTCTGGGACATGAGGAGCAGTTGAGGGAGCTGGGCTTGTTTAGGCTGGTGGAGAAGATGCTGAGGATAGGGCTGTCTCTCCTTGGAGGATGATCGCTCCTCTACTCTGCTCTCGTGAGACCCCCCTGCAGTGTGGCGTTCAGGTCTGGGGTCCCCAACACAAGAAGGACATGGAGCTGTTGGAGCAGGGCCAGAGGAGGCCATGGAGATGATCCGAGGGCTCTGCCATGGAGACAGGCTGAGAGAGTTGGGGCTGTTCAGCCTGGAGAAGAGAAGGCTCCGGGGTGATCTTATCGCAGCCTTCCAGTACCTAAAGGGGCTACAGGAAAGCTGGAGAGGGGCTTTGGACAAGGGTGTGTAGTGACAGGACAAGGGGCCAATGGCTTTAAACTGAAAGAGGGGAGATTTCCATGGGATCTAAGGAAGAAATTCTTCCCTCTGAAGGTGATGAGGCACTGGCACAGGTTGCCCAGAGAAGCTGTGGCTGCCCCATCCCTGGAAGTGTTCAAGGCCAGGTTGGATGGGGCTTTGGGCAACCTGGTGTAGTGGAGGGTATCCCTGCCCATGGCAGGGGGGTTGGAACTGGATGATCTTTGAGGTCCCTTCCAACCCAAACCAGTCTGTGATTTTGGACACAAGCACTGTGGTGGTCCAGCAAGAAGCAAAAAGGGATGTTACGTTCGGTCCAAGCCTTGAGCAGAGCTGTTAAGCCGGGACGTAATTCCCTGATCTGGCTTCTGTGGGAATCTGAACTCCCTGACTGCTTCCTTGAGATCCACCGGGTACAAAAGACACAGGCAACGCGAAATGAAAGACAAGGGAGGAAAAAAGTGAGCAAATTTACCATCCCTTCCTATCCTCATTAGACTCAAAGAGAAAATAATAATACCGAGAGCTGGAAGACCTTTTTCTTTTTCTTTTTCGTTTTTCTGCGCTTGAGCTCCAAGTTGTGTTCACCTGCTTTTACTAGTACCCATGATTACAGAGGCGTCACCTGAAAGTGAGAAGTTTAGAAAGTGAGTGCAAGAGGACACAAAAGACCCCAGAGCAAGTTTAAGAAAGGCAAAAGTACTTTTTAAAGACTTCCCTGTCTGTGCTCCCAATTTCCTTTCCCACCTGCCCTCTGCGTGCTTTCCTTAGAACTGTTTTTAGAGCCTTTTTTTTTTTTATACTGTTTCTCCCCACTTTTTGCCTCATGTCTGGATTTTCTTTTGCTTGGCACAAAGCAGACCCTGTTTCCCTTCCCCTGTTAAGCCCCATAGCACGGACTGGCTGAACTGGCTTCGAGCTGTGTAGCTGAATGAGTTTAATACATGCAATTTGAACTGTTATTTTCCCTGTTCCTTGTATTAGGTCCTTTTTTGGCCTTGAGTAATTTGAGAGGAATAACAAGATTTGTGACCTAGGGAATGGTTGTGTCTTTTTTTTTTTTTTTTTAATTGAGGAAAAAAAATATTAAAACTTACTTTTTAAAAATAGGAGTCAAAACAGCAAGTAGTTGCAGGGTGACAACAGATGCTATCTTGCTCCTCACCAAAGGGCCTTTCTGCTTGAGAGGACAAGAACTTAATCTATTCTCAAAAATTTTGGTGAGGTTTTTCTTGGAGAGCAACCAGGGTGCAAATCCTGTTGGGGTAGGGTTTGGTGGTTCTGTATTTCTTTCCCACCTTTATTTTCTAAAGTTTTTGCATCAGAAGAAATAAACCTTTTCAATGTGTCTGTGTTGCAAACTCAGCTTGGGATTCGAAGTCTCGTCGCTCATGATTCACCACCAGTAATAAAAGTTTTTAAACATGCAGCAGAGGCTGAGCCTGGGATTTCCTGTGTTTCTAAGTGGCTGCTTTATTTAATATTTGGATTTTTAACAGCTGCAAGTGCACAAATACTGCAGGGCTTTCCTTTGTTTCTGCATTCATCTTTAATTTGTTAACGGCTTTAGGACCTCTTGGTGGGATGCTGTTGGGAAGTAAGTGTTTTACTGGGATGCTTTCCTTCTGAGATGTCAAGAGAAATTTGGGCTTTGAGAAGGCTCTGCCCATTGGGGCTTTGAAGGAAGGCTTGCTCTCGTGGTAGTGAAATCCATATTCACTCCAGACCTGAAGATCTTTACAGGAAAACAGATAACCCTGAGAAACTGCACGTGCACCGAGGTTTTCCCTGTGTGCAGACATCAACTCTCAAACCCTAAAAGAGTGCGCCGTGAATCCAAGTAACTTTTTAGCACAAGAGAAAACTCTGACCTACTCAACATAAAATTAATTTACCAGCAGGCTTCGCTTCTAGCAGTTGCTAACAATTTCTTTCTTTTTTTTTTTTTTTTTTTTAAGGGCTCCCTGGCAAGGGCTTACGCGGGAGCTCGTATTCCCCCTGCTGAAGGGTGATTTAACTTGCAGACAAGGACTTGGGGGTTGAATTCCTGGAGGGGAGCTCAGCTCCGTAGCTCCCAGTGGGAGCAGCATCTGCTCCGTGGAGATCTGAGCTTAATAAACAAGGCTGGTGTGTGGCGATTCACGCTCTGCCGAGGCCCCAGACTCATCTGGGGATGCCCAGAATTAATATGTGCACCTGCTTTCCGCTTTCTTCCTCCAGGTTTGCATCCGGAGTCAGAAGAGACGAGTTCCCTTCTGCAGACAGCGGTTTCGGTGCTGCACAGCTCCTACTTGGACTCGACATCCCAGGACGGTTTTCAGTACAGCCAAGCAATTCTGGTGGAAAACGACTTTTTTTTAAGTGAGGTGAGGCCGGTGGAGGAGCAGGGTGTTGCTGGCAGCTCAGGAGAGGGTGGCATTTCTTTGGGAGCTGCAGACATCTGTAAAGGCTGGTTTATTGGCAGGTCTTTCCTTTGCACACGTGGCTGATCTGCCTGCCTCGTAGAGCCCCGTTTGCAGTTCCTAACTGAAGGGAGCCTTGTCTTTGCTTTCTTGCACCTCTTCCTTCCCAATCAGGAACAAAAGATCCATTCAGTTGCCAAGCACTCAGCAGCAGTTCCTGGAGCAGGCCTTGGGGCAGGTAGAAATCCTGATTTGAGACCTAGCAGGAGAGCTTTAATGTTATTGTACTGCTGCTGATTCACAGCAAGGCACGTTGCCCTGTGGTATTTCTTTTGTCTGCTCTCACACCTGTGCAGACCCCAGTTTTAACCCCTTTTCCCTTTCTCCAGCTGACTGGAGCCTGTCCAAAACCACTTTCAAAATGCCTTCAGCCCTACGGTCCCCCTGTCATTGGCATGGGAGACAGGCTGTCTCCTCTGGGGACTGGAGATGACCAGTCTGCTTGTTGTCATGAATTAAATAGAGCTTAGACATTTTGGCTGCCTAAATCTGGGATAGTCACTGTGCAGGTGGAAAAAAAAAACTGGGAAAGCAGGTATCAAGTAATTTGTTGATTTGCCTGTGAGTTCTAAAGCCAAAATAAGCAAAAGCAGTGATGAGATTATTGTTTTCTTATCTTGTAACCCTGTTTAAAAAAATCCTATCCTTCTACAACTGCTTTTATTAAAGCACCAAAATGTCATGGACTCACACCCAGCTCTCTTTGCATCCATGATGTTCTCCCTGTCTGCACTGAGAACACGCTCTGCTTTAATTATCAGACAAAAGAAATTGGAATATTGTGTTATTTGGCTGTAGCCAAACCCTCTGAGCTGTGGTTGCGTGATAGCACCTGCCCTCTAATCAAATAGTCTAGGCTTCCCTGGTCAGTGGAGAGGGAAAAAGAGAGGTGCCTCCAAGCATCTCCCCTTCTGTAGGCATCTTCTCCATGGCTGAGATTTGTCTTCTGATGGCCATAGTTGGCTACTAAATGTGGTGCTTCACCAGCCCACATGCTGCTGGGTGAAGCAAGCTCCCCAGTAGCCAACGATGCGTGGCAAAAGGGGCAAGGTGGAATAAAGCTGGACTTCCCTGGCATGAGCACAGCGTGACACTGTGGGGCTGGATGTTCCTGCTGTTCCTTGGAGGACGTTGAACATGTTCTGCTGGGGACAGAAACAGACAGATGCATGGATTGGGGTCCCTGTGGTGGGAGACTGGGTGTACGCGTGCCTGGGCGAGGGAATGATGTGTGGGCACATGAACTGGTCCAGCATCACCTGGCTGCTGCCAGCTGCCCTGTACTGACTACGACTGGAGGTACGTGTTCCCTGTACCACTCAGTCACTTGGCTCTGGCACAGATGGACTAAAACAAAGTGTTGTGTCTTCTGCAGCTCAAAGCTTTTGCCCAAGCAAAGGAAGCCGCCGGGTACAGCCAGGAGGAGCTGGAGGAGACCTTTGCCTTTCTCCTGTTTGATAATGAAGAAGAGGTAACCTGAAACGTTTATTCAGCTTAAGAAGTTTGATGCCAAGTGCCTGCCTGCGTGCTGTCCCACCAAAGCCCAGCAGATGCGTTGACTGAAGTGTCCTGGCTCTCTGCACCTCGGTTACCAGTGCAGTTACTACTGTATAAATAGTCCAGAGCAAGTTCTGAAAGCAGCTCCTGGGAGTGTTTAGAGATGAATCTTATGTTGTGTCTCTCCAGTTGATTACTGTTAGAGATTTGGCTGCCTCCTTTGCCCTCTGCAGGGGGATAGAACGAGTCTCCCTCTGTCCCAGTGGATCTATGTTCAAGTACAGGCAGGTGAAACCTTTGATACACACTTAGAAGAGGAAAGCACCTTTGTGAGAGCCGACAGGAGTTTGTCAGGTGGTTTGGGGCAAGTTCCCTTGGTTTTGCCAGCTAGTTGGAGAGAGAGCCTGACACAGCTTTTGGGAAAGTTATTCCTGCTCATTTTCACAAGGATACTTTTATTTTGTGGAAAGAATTTGTCTACACAAGGATGCTCAGGGAATCTAGTGGGAATTCACTTTGAACGTGATTTAATGATGCCGTGCTAAGTCACGGTAGAGATGGTTTTGTTCAGGGTGAGAGTGACCTGAATGCAGTTTAGTTCTGTTCAGTTTGGATTAAGTTGCCACAAAATAAACCACTTTCAGTCTCACTCTGAGAGTGGGAATTGTCCCGCTTTGTTTTAGCTGTCTGAAGTTCAGCGTGATCCGTGCCAAGTGGCTGAGCTCCTCGAACAGTCCCTAGGAAAGAGGGGGCTCTCCAGAGGGCAGTTGGACCTGGTTTAATGCAGACATCTAAAATCCTCAGCCTAAATCACTCTCTGGAGGTGCCTCCCTCTCCAGTGTTCGGAGGAGGAGTGTAGCTGGCTAGACTAAGCTAGACACTTGCCTTTTAGGAGGCAGAAGTTAGGTGAGATGAGAGCCTCGTGGTGCTCGTAAAGGGGCTGAGTACACTGGTTTGCTTTTATTTCTCACCCATAACGAGTTCAAACTGAACCCGTTGCCACTCTTTGGTCAATATACCTTTGGTCCTTGCACACTTTGATGAATCTGCTTTGAACATGAATTAAATCAAAGCCAACGAGATGCTTCCAAGGCGGTAATTGTGCCCATGGAGGAGTGAGCGCAGAGCAGCACACGTCTTTTGCCTTCATGCCAGCCCTGTTGCATTTATTTTTCCATAAACTGTCCAGGCAGATAAAGAAAGTGCAAAGTCCAGCCTTGCTCTTGCGGTGGTTTCTGGAGATGCTGGATTTTTTCCAGATTTTTCTAAACTTGTGCTTCCACGGAGGTTTTTGTAACAACACTTGATAAATACAAGTATTCAGTGTCTGAAACAACAAATTTTCTTCCTGTTGATTCTTACTATGGACTTTATGTTTAATTTTCTTTATACTGTGGGTGTTTTGGGACCATGATGATCTGTAATTGACTTGCAGCATGTTTGCCTGTTGCAAGTGTTTTGCCAGCTGTCGTTGGCAGTAGCTGTGTCCCTTATCTTTGACAATAGGTGGTAAAAGAGGCTGGCTGTTCTTTTGCAGGCAAAAGAGGTGTGTGAGACTGGCCTCCGTGTAAACAGCAGTTCTATTTCTACGCTTGGTGACCCAGCAAAAGGTGAGATGTCTGTTCCGAGGACCAAGAGACCTGTTCACTGATCTGAGGGTATTGTCTCCTTTAAAAACAAAAACAAAAGCCCAGAAAAAGTCCTGGTACTGCCTTCTTGTTTACTGCAAAGATCCACAAAAACTCCCATGTTTCTTACATGGGAAGCTGCGTTTGTTTGGATCAAGCAAGCAGCAGTGTATTCCTTCTGCCCCCTCAACCAGATGAGGATGGGATCTTCCCTGGGGAATGTTATCATCTCTTCACCTCTCTGTTTCAGGCTTTCTCTCCCTCGTTAATAACAATCTTTGTCACCAAAGTGGCTTTTTGGCAGCTCTCTCCACTGGTTGGCTCTTCAGAGTCCATTTGCTGAGCTTTTGCCAACAATCCTGTTAATAACCAGAGCAGATCGTGACACGTCAAAGCCTTTTCCAGTATGTGCTTGTTCCTTGCCCAAAGGACTGGGGCCTCAGGACGTGCAGTGCAGGACGCATTACTCAAAGAAATCCTTCTGCCAGAAGCAGGACGTCTCCCAGTCCTCATCCTGCAAGTCTTTGCAGGCTGAGACACTTAATTAATTCTTGAACAATCAATGGCAGTGAATGCAAAGCCAAGCAAGAACTGGTTATTTATCTGGGTGTACATCTCCGTGCTGATGGACTGAGATGAATATTATGGTGTGTCTCTTTGTAGCCCCTGCCCTGCCCAGTCCCTGTTTCCCCTTCATGTGCTTCTCTACCGATCGTGTCTATAAATACAAAGCAGGAGTGAAGAGCCAACACCTCCCCCCCCTTCCCCCGAAATAAATCCACATATTCTATGCCCTGAACATGGAGAAGGGAAGGTGATAAGCCATGTCAGAATAGGCCTTGTCACAGGGTAGAAGGCTCACATTGGCATCTGGGACACTGAAGTGCCGTAAAGAGCCAAGGACGGGGCCTGGGAGGGTTGCTGCCATGCCATGGGCCAGCTCTCATAGAGTCATAGAATCCTAGAATGGTTAGGGCTGGAAGGGACCTTCAAAGGTCATCTAGTCCAACCCCCCTGCAAGGAACAGGGATATCTCCAACTAGATCAGGTTGCTCAGGGCCTCGTCCAACCTGGCCTTGAACGTCTCCAGGGATGGAGCATTATGCCCTTGCAGTGTGTGTTGCCCACGTATAAACACCCATGTTGCCTTTGCCTGACTCCAAATTGAGCAAAGTACCTGCCCCGCTTGCAGTCTGACCTGGAACCCCTTCTACCACATCCTCTTGTAAGAGACGAGCCCTCACTTGGTATGTTGACATGTAGTGTGAGTAACACTGATGTTAGCTGGGCTACTTCTCCCAGCAGAAACCCAAGTCAACGCCTTTCCTAGAGCTGACCCTGAAACAACGTAGTGCTGTTCCATACCAGCAGTCAGAAAAATGAGTCACAAAGAGTTTCACCCTTTTTATGGCAGCAAGTGCTGCTCTGGTGCGCAGCACTGGCTCTGCAGAGACTCCTGTTTCCGCAAGGAGGTTCCTCTTTACAATTTTTTTTTGGCAATCGGCTTTACTCGACAGATGATTCACATTATCTTGCCTTGCTTCGTTTTCACAGGGGTTTATATTTCCAAGTATGCAGACTGTCTTCATCCGAGACCCTGGTATCATGGAAAATCGGGCTATATTGTAATTTGTAAGCTCATTAAGGTAAAATGCAAGTCTCTCTTTTTTTACGTGGAATGGTTTTCAGAAGCTGCTCTACTCTGCAAGCAGTTTTTATGGAGACATTGGTGCCTGTAACTGTGGTGGGGTGTAAAATCAGCTCTGTTGAGAGCTCATGAGGATTTTCAACCATGGGATGTATCAGGCTAGAAAGCAAGAGATCCAGCTGGGCTTGACTGGTGGCCTGCAGAGCAGCAGAAGATGCAGAGGACCTTCCAAATTCCACCTCTGAGATCAGAAATTTCCCATAGGGTCACCTTTTTCCCTGGACTCGCATGTGTTTGGGGGTTTGAGGGGCGAGCCCTAAGGTGGCTCAGATCACAGCCCCATTCTGTTCCTCCGTGGGGCTGGTGTGTGACCCCTTTCTCCCCTCTCCTCTGGCTCCTGCTCTCTGTAGCTGGTACCAAAAGCACTGCTGCTCTCCTGACCAGTGCAGATTTGTCTGCCATGCCACTCTCCGAGTGGCAGACCCTCAAGTTTGGAAGGACACAAACGTGCACAACCCCCTCACAGAGGTGGGGAGTGTGGGGCTACCAGTAACACTGTCCTTGGGGAAAAGGAGGATTCAGAGGTCTTGTAAAATAAGTTTCTGTGAACCATTCTCTGTGTGTGTTATTATTTCTTTTTGGTGAATTTTCTGGCACAGGGGAAGGTCAAGGTGGTATCTGAGAACTACACAACCAGTTATACCTGCCCATCTCCCGGCTATGACTGCCACGTCGCCGTGAGCAGAAACAACATCCCATCAAAGACCAGTCACTGCCAGGCCTTCCAGCAGAGCCAGGTAGAGGTTTGCAGCAGGACTGTGCAGACAGCTCGCTCGCTCACTGCAGGGGAGCACAGTGCTGGCCCGGGTGCCTCGCTTGCTCCTCACCTTGTTCTTCCATCTGTTTCCCTTCTTGCCCCAGTATTACGTGTACGAAGAGTCCGACGGCGGCCCCGCCGAGCGGCCCCGGCAGATCTGCCCCTACATAGTCCTCGCCTGCCAGTACAGGGAGCCGAAGGAGATGCCTGCCTTAGCTGTAGAGAGCCTGTAAGCAGCTCGCTGTCTTTTCGAAATGCTCAGTTGCTTTTGCGAGCCGTTTTTCCTTTTCCCGTTGCTAAATATTCCTCTTTTTCTCCCTTCTCTCTAGACCTGAGCTTAATCACAAAGGTAGGAGCATCTGGTGATTGGTTTTGTTTTATAAATGGACCTTTCTCTGTTTGCCCTCCTCTCGTCTCCTGCTTTCTCTGAGCTGTTCTCCCTTTTCCTTGTAGCGTTGTACTGTCCATGGAGGGGGCAGCTGTCCATCCGGGGCCAACTTTTGTGCAACATTGCCCTCAGGACCCCATATAGCTCCACGATTCCAGCCCAGCTGTAAGTTGCCCTTTTCCTCTTCTTTCCATTTGTGGAGTGTGAAGCATGACACCTTTGGGTGTCTGTGTACCAGCAAAAGCCAGTTTTGTCTCTCCTGCCCCATCCCTTCATTGATGAGCATCTTCTTGCAGCTATGCCAGCTTACCACCTGCACTGTCAGGGCAATCGTCAGTGTCAGGAGGGTGATGTTGGGCAGCCAGCAGTGTGGTGTCACAGCTGGATGAGGACATGAGATCAAGCCCTGAAGTGTGACTGGAAATGGCTGTATTTTGTCATCTCTTTTTGTTAACTGTTTTGGGCTGTTTATTCCAAATCCATTATTCTTGCTTGGGATTTTTGTCCTTGTGAGAAGTGGGCTTCCTGGTGGTGCAGGCACGGTCAGCCAGTTGTGTTGCCAGATGGGCAGGAAGGCAAATGAAGTGTTGAGGTAACTATCATTCAAAAAAATGAGATATTTAAAATCTTCAGTAGTCAGAAGCCAACCAGCAGGCAGCAATTTGAAGCAACCAGTGACAGCCAGTAACAGAGCCACGAATATCAGTGTTTGGAGATGTTCCAAACAGGATCCTCAGAAAAACTAAATGCTAGGCAAGCTGTGCCTTCTCCAGCCTTCTCCAGAGCTGCTTTCTCTGATTTTGCAGTGACAGGGCAACCAGGACTCTTTGCTGTGCTTAATTCTGGGAGCCTTTTGTGCTTGTGATCTCACCGTCTGCTGCTTTATCCCCACAGGCCTCCCAACCTGGACATTAACCATGTCATGGGTTTGTCTGACTTGAAGAAAAAGCTACCAGAAGCTGCATTTGGGAAAAGGAATTACGTTGAGAATGAAGGTGAGTGCAAAACCCACTGGTGTGATGAGTAACTGCTTGGAATCTGCTTGTGCTGTGCCATAGGAATTGCCACAGGGCGTCACAGCTCAGTTCCCCGTAGTACTGGGTCCTGTCTTGAAGGGTAACGGGTTGCAGATAAGTGAGGAAAAAATGCCAGGGCAGCACAGGGATGTTTTCCTGTCCACACTTCAGATTGTCTCCTGGTGTGATATAATCCTTTTCCCAAAGCAGCCCTTTAATCAGCCTGCTTCTGGGACAGAACAGGGTGCGAGACCCTGTTCTGAAACCTGGGCTCCCATCCTGCAAGGTGCCAAACATGGTGCAAGTGAGAGCAAATGCAGGGAGTCAAAGTTTCCCCTTTTTACATGGTCTCCCTACGAGGTGAGGGATGCTCTGCCTCTTGGAATCTGACGCAGTGTCTCCCACATCTGAGCAGCTGGGGGCAGCTGCCAGCCAAAGCCGAAAGATGTGCCTGCCTGCAGTAGCTTTGGGTCACAAGTAACCTACTTGTGACCTACTTGTTCAGCTCTGGAGTCCCCAACACAAGAAGGACATGGAGCTGCTGGAGCGAGTCCAGAGGAGGCCACGAAGATGATCCGAGGGCTGGAGCACCTCTGCTCTGGAGACAGGCTGAGAGAGTTGGGGCTGTTCAGCCTGGAGAAGAGAAGGCTCCGGGGAGACCTTCCAGCACCTTCCAGTGCCTAAAGGGGCTACAAGAAAGCTGGAGAGGGGCTTTGGACAAGGGCGTGCAGTGACAGGACACGGGACAATGGATTTAAACTGAAAGAGGGGAGATTTCGATTAGATCTAAGGAAGAAATTTTTTACATTGAGGGTGGTGAGGCACTGGAACAGGTTGCCCAGAGAAGCTGTGGCTGCCCCATCCCTGGCAGTGTTCCAGGCCAGGCTGGATGAGGCTTTGAGCAACCTGGTGTAGTGGAGGGTGTCCCTGCCCATGGCAGGGGGGTTGGAACTGGATGATCGTTGATGTCCCTTCCAACCCAAACCATTCTGTGGTTCTATGATTCTATGATGCTACTTGTCACTGCATGGGGACTCATAGTGACAGTGAGTGGCAGTGTGGGAGGGGAGAGGACTCCAGAAGCCTTGGGGAGAGGCAGGGAATGCTCAGCAATCGGCAAATAAAACCACAAATTTGGGGAAGGGAGAGAAAGGCTCTCCTGTTCCCTTAGTGGTAGTAAGAGTCCTTACTTGCCAATAGTCAACCACGCTCTGTCCTGGTCTGGGAGTGGGGAGGAGAGGACCTGTGTCTCATTATACTTTGGGGTTCGTACTGCTTATTGCTTTTTGGGTTGGAGTTTTGATGAGCCTGGCAGCTCTTGGCCCCCAGATGTTGAGATCCCGATGGCTGCCCGTTGCAGCAGACGTGCAGTTACTGACACCGACACCACAGGTTGCACGTGGAGAGCTCCGGATGTGATTTGCAGAAGCTCCAGGTGCTTCTCCATCTTATCTTGCACTAAAATGAGTGTGAGCTGCTGCAGTGCTGCCTTCCATCTGTGTGTCAGCTCTGCTGAGCCATGCCAGGGCGCTGATGGGACTGGCTGACCACCAGCCTGTTTTGGGGGTTAACATTCAACTCACAGTGCAGATGGACACAGGATAGTGCCAGGGCAGGGGAGGAGGCCACGGATTCAGGAGGGGTGGGACTGCAATCTTGCCTTTGTTCAGCTTCCTTGGGGATCAGTGCAGAATAAGGATACTCAACAGCAGGGGAGAGTATGGCATGTTAGAAGGAGGAATTTCCCTCCGAAAGGCTCCTTGTCTCTGTTGAAGCACGCAGCATTGGTTAAATTGCTTTAAAACAGTGAATTGGTTATTGCTTCTGTCAGCTGCAGAGGTAAGATAGGAAACATCTCCTGGGAACCATGGGTTGAAGAGGAAAATCACTGCCATAGGAATGCATATACCAGCTTAGGAAATCTTGATGGTTTTTTTTAAACCCAGTACTTCCACCAATTGCACGCTCATCTTCCTGGTACAGGAGCACTTGTCTGTTTAGAGTTCAGGCAAGAGGCACTATTTCAACATCAAATTCTCTCTCTTTTGTCTGCAGTCTGCTTTCAGGGTGTTTACTTCAGTCTGTACGAAGTAGAAATATCAAAGAAGGATCAATATAAAATGGATCAGTTAGTTGAAAATCTAAAGGAAAAGGACTTGGTAAGTATTTTAAAACGTCATGCTGGAAGGAAGGTGGCCTTTTAAATGATCTCTCGAAACTTTTGGTAACATTATTCACAGACCTTGAACTAATGCAAAATTGAATGAATTTCCCTGCTTTAAGTATTATTTTCCTGCTTTATTATTCTCAAAAATAGTTTAGTCTTTCTGTATGTAAGCTGTTAACTGAAGATGACCCACTGGGAACTGATTCCTAGGCTAAGCATGCCCTGCTGAGCAGAAGGCATTATACCAGGCAAACCTCTTCTCTGGCTATGTTTATGCCAGATGAGATTATTTTATTGTCTTTATTATTTCCCCCTGCACTGCACTTTGTCCCAGCATGGTGGACAAAGACTGCAAGGGGATCTTATATATTAAGAAAGCAGAAGTAAAGTCCCCCAGTGCCAAAATGATGATTACTAAGCAAAAAAACCCATAAGCTGTCACATGCATACCTTTCTCCTTCGTGGCTGAAAAATAGCCCCCACTCAGCTAGATACTCACAGGTATGCTGCTGAAATCTCAGGAACGTCCAGGAGCTCTGATGATGTTGAGATTTATCTTCTTTTTAATGGGGAGTTTCCTTTGCAATATATTATCTGATAAGACATTTTTTTCCAGCACACTGGGGTCTTTTAGTTCCCAGTGTGATCATCACATCTCCTTCTGCCCAGAGAAGCTGTGGCTGCCCCATCCCTGGAGGTGTTCAAGGCCAGGTTGGATGAGGCTTTGGGCAACCTGGTGTAGTGGAGGGTGTCCCTGCCCATGGCAGGGGGGTTGGAACTAGATGATCTTTGAGGTCCCTTCCAACCTTCCAACCCAAATCATTCCATGATTCTATGATTCTGACTCCGAGGGACGAACCTGAGCCCTGCCGAGCACATCACCTGCGTCTCTGCTGGGATTTGTGGTTGGACTGTTTGGCTTTTGCTGCTGCTGGTTGCTCTCTCCCATCTATAGATTCAGGGTTGTAAATTCATGGCCACAAACTCGCAGTTGGCTGGGCACGTCCTCCCCTCGCTCTAAGTTGGCAGCAGCCCATGAACTGCCTGGAAGTGCTGTTGCTGGAGAGCTGCCCGCCAATGTGCAGTTTCCCACACGTAACGTACTGGAGCAAGCGTTTGTTATGGATCCCGGTAAGAAAAACACTCTGACTCCCTAAAGTATTGATTAAACTATCTTTTATTGGTAACAACGTGAGAAGATAAAAAGGAGATAGCAAAGACAATCTTAATGTCCCTTCACGTGCAGGTAATCCTGCAGTGTGCAGCATCAGTTGGACCTCTGGTTGGGGCACAGATCTGTCCGTGCTGCAGCTCATCCTGAGGTTGCCAACATCTGAAGGGATGTAAGTTTCTGCTATCCCTTTTTTCTTAGAATCATAGAATCATAGAATGGTTAGGGCTGGAAGGGACCTTCAAAGGGCATCTAGTCCAACCCCCCTGCAAGGAACAGGGATATCTTCAACTAGATCAGGTTGCTCAGGACCTTGTCCAACCTTCTTCTCCTGTTCTCACCAATAAAAGATATTTTAATCAATACTTTTACAGAGTCCAAGTGCCTTCCTTACTGGGATCCACGACAACTGCTTGTTCCAGTGCATTACACCATGTCTGCAGCCGCTGAGGGTTATAACATACATCCTGCCAAGCCCAGCGGAGCTGGGTTCTCTAGAGGAGTCAGGGAAGATGAGATAGTTGAGTTGTGGCTGTGAGCAGTGTGGTATTGAAAGCCATCAGGAGCATCGTTTCCCTAGAGCTTTCCCACCCTCATATATCTGTCAAACTGGATTAAAATTTATCTTTCTTATATTTAGATATAATAAAGAAATTCTTTACATTGAGGGTGGTGAGGTACTGGAACAGGTTGCCCAGAGAAGCTGTGGCTGCCCCATCCCTGGCAGTGTTCAAGGCCAGGTTGGATGGGGCTTTGAGCAACCTGGTGTAGTGGAGGGTGTCCCTGCCCATGGCAGGGGGGTTGGAACTGGATGATCTTTAAGGTCCCTTCCAACCCAAACCATTCTGTGATTCTGTAAAATATCTCCCGTTTCAATGAGTCCCAGCCCATTTTGGGTGTGCTTCTTCCCTCCCCTTCGCGTGCTGTTCAGTGGTTGAACCTGCTTTGCCTGCAGCTCCCAACATAAATGAAGAAAGCCCTCCATCTCCTAGGCATCCACCTTGTGCAGGGCTGGAGTGAAAATGAAAGAGTGGCTGGGGCTAAGCGCGGTTGCCTGAGCCCAGCTTCACTCCTCTGGGTGCTGGGTGACGTCCCTCAGCTCTGTGCTGCCTTATGACTTGACTTTCCTCCTCACCTGCCCTAAAATCGCGCTGTCGGTGTGAAACCACAGCTGTTTCGCTGAGCTGGATTTGTGCAGCAGAGATGCTGGCTCTTCTCCCTCCTGCTCTGCTGGCTGGAGACAACCAGAGCAAGAAGCTACTGTTCTGAATAGCGAATACGACACTGAAATTGTTCAACATTTCTAAAGTTGTTCTGTTGCCCGGGAGAAACGAGGCTGTGGGCATCAGTCCAATCCTCTGTTGTGTCTGAACATGCTGAGTGGGATGGGCAAAGTTGCGCAGAGCATTAGAAGCCCGAGGGTTATCCATTTCCTGTAAGTTTCCTGAAAAGATGTGTCTGCATGGAGTGAAGAGATCCAAGTGGGTGTCCCCGCGGAGGGGAAGGCGGTCCGAGCCAAGCTCTGCGATGAGGCATCCAGCAACACCCAAACCCAAGAAGAGCCTCGATAAGTGCACGTATCTTTTCAGACGTGCGGTCATCCAGCTCTGAGACGGAGTCGCAGGAGTCTCTTAGGCTCAGCAAATTTTTTTTCATGTGTTCATTGATTCTCATGCTGCTAATAAGCAAACTGCATGGCCTGAACTTCAGTCGGGCTTGCGACTGGAACAGTGGGTTGTGTCTGGTCAGATGCTGGCGTCCAGCTTTGCTTCCTCCGCTGGGAAAACCTTCCCTTGGGCTACAGGAGGCAATTCCTGGCTGAGATGCCCAGGAGCTTTTGAACTGAAGGGACTAAAATTATTAACCTTGTTCATTAATTACAGCTAGTTTGGCTAAGCATATTTATTTTTTAAGGAACAGATGGGAGGAATTTGAGAGCTGAATAACAACATAAATGGAAGGCTTTTGGTACAGGGCTCTGTTGACCCAAGTGGCATGGACTGAACAGTGTCCTCCTCAGCAAGGAATGAGCTGGTGGTGTTGGCACATGTTCCCTGGCAATCAGGGCTTGTTGACAGTGGTGCTGAGTGATACAGAGTGTGCTAAGGAGCAAAGGGAGTGGTTGCTCTAACTCTGTATGTGTTTGTTACAGGCAATCATCAAATACTTACAAGATCAAGGAGTCCTTATCCTCCTCACGTCCTCTGCCTTGGCTCGAGATGATGGTAAGATGTGGCTACATACAAACCACTGTTGGTGCTTAATTATCCTGCTCTGTTTTAGAGACGGAGGGTGGGCACCCTCAGTCTAAACAAAACCTGTTGCTTTCTTTCATAGCGTTCGACCCTAAGGAGCCCATCACCCTCCTGGCCCTGTTTCTGTTCACCTCGTCCCGGTCGGTGTGCCTGAGAGGTAGGGATATTCCCTGTGCTGGCTTCAGACCCTGTGTTTGGGGTGTGGGATCCTCACCAGAGAGTCCTTACAGGCGCGTTTCTCTGGAAGAGCTGATTTCTCTGCTCAGAACCACCTGCAGCTTTAGTGCAAAGGGTGCTAAAAGAGGAGAGAAAAGTCCCAGCTCACTCCCTGTGCTGCGCTTGAAGCTGATCTAAGCCAGGTTCCCTGCCTGGCCCGCTCGCCGCACATCCTTGCCCCTTTGCAGGAAGTTGATGGGAGTGACAAATAATTACTTCTCTCCCTCTCAGTCAGTTTTCAGCAGAATCCACCTCCTGAACTCTCTTAGGTGTGCGTATGGGAGCCCAGCTCCTGCACAGCCTGGCTTACATCCCTAAAGGCGCGCTGGAGCTGTGCTCAGGGGACAGAACGACACATGGCGCTCGCTGGACCCTGCACGGAGCTGGTGCGATTTGCTGAGCCAGCAGGAGAGCAGCCTGCCCTCAAAAATAAGTCAGTTGTTTTTTGCTAAGATAACAAGTAAAACGGACTCTGTTGAAGGTCTCTGCTGGCGTGGGGAGGGAGGGGAGAGGTGGGGAGGGGGCGTTGCTCCCCGAAGAGCAGCGAGGGCTCACCTTGAGCTGTACAGTGTGACTTCTCTGCTGTGGGATCCGTAGATGCTGGTAGTGGGGCCGTGACGACCAGTCAGGGTGTGCGACGGGTGAGGGAGGCAGGGAGGTGGTGTTGGGCAGAGCCACGGTGCTGTGCTGCCGTCACGGTGAGTCACAGCTCTGGGACCTGGGAGGTGAATCCAGGCTCTTTGTAGCCCCAAAACGTGCTGCTTCTCATGCAGAGCAAACACAGAGGCACTAAATCAGAGAAAATAAAAGATTGCACAGTTTGAACCTGCTGATCTTGAAATAAGAACGAGCTTCAACCTCTGTTGCATCTGCCTCAAATCTTCTCTGCATCTTTTGGCTTTTTGCTGTGCTGTCAATGTGGAAATATTCACATTACAATTTCCTCTCATGGACTTAAAGAAAGTTACTGTTCTACCTCCCCTGGGAAGCTTCATCTGCTCATCTCACTACATCCACTCCACCAGCAATACTTCCAGCCTTGCAGATCCCCAAGAAACATGTGAACCGGGGCCTTTTGCTCTGTGTAACTTCTGGCTTGCTTTTTGTTGAGTCATCCCAAGGACAAGCCAAGAGACTGTTTTTGCCAGCATGCACGGGTGTTTCAGCCCGCCTCTGTGTGAGTGATGGCTGGCATTGCCAACGGAGCTGCCCAGGACGTACCTACCTCCTCTCCCCAGAAGATAAAATTGGCAGAAGAGCCAACAGGACCTACCAGCACATCCGAGCGTGGATTGCTTTGTCCTTTTTGGTGTTTAACCTCCAGCTGTAAACTTTCTCCTTCAGGATCCGCGTACGAAGTGGGCTTGTAAGTCAGGTTTAGGCGTGGTGGTGGCTTGGCAGTGTGGGATGTGAATGTCTTTGGTGCCTGAATTCAGTCAGCCTAACTTTAAGGACGTGCTGCTGGTGGCTGTGTTAGCGTGGCAACTTGTTCTAGTGTCTTTTCTAGACGTAGCAGGGAGACAGGTGCCTCCTGAGGCAGACTGAAGATCCAAAGTGCCAGGTCAAACTTGGGATCAGGTTGTTGCTGTGATGCCTGAAGCAAGGGCGTGAGGCTGGGTGAGGTGGCGGTGAAGAAGGCCTGGAGAGCAGACTGGAGGTGAGAACTGACCACCCAGATATTGAGATCTTGCTGATCAGCCCCGTAACAGGCAGAAAATACCTTCCAGAGCAGAGTGTGCTATTCCTGAAAGGCTGACAGCGAGCACTGTGTGCTGGGGGAGAGGAGAACAGGGCAAGGAGGTACTTGTCTTGAAGAAGGTTATGGAAGGTGGTGGAGACAGTAGAGGGCACCAGGTGTAAGGAGCATCCCAGAGCGAAGATGGTGCAAGCAACCAGTTGGTAGGAAGGTTTGGGGATGTAGCAGATGTTGCCTGTGACTGGTGTTGATGCTAAAGATGAGGCAAAGCCTGGGCAGCGAGAGAGCAGCTGGTGGCAAAGCGAAGAGGCAGAGGGAGAGGATAACACTGAGCAAAGTCTCCATGTTGTTCTGTGTTGTGATCTGAACGCTGGTGGCTTCCAGATGTTTTCCTGCTGGTGCCAGCAAGGCTCCTGCACGTGTTGTCCCATTCTGCCGACGTGAGCGGCATTACCCCATCCAGCCCTCGCTGTCCTCTGGGTCCAAGACCTCTTTTGACTGGGATTATAAACACTTTTTCCTTTAGGGCTTCTCCTTTCTCTGAAGGTGGGTGGAACTGTGCAGAGGCTTGAAAAGGGACGGTCGCCGAAGACGCCGGGGTTGCGGGGGAGATGCAAAGAGAGAAGAAGGACGGATGCGTTTGAAGTAGCTCAGCTCAAGCTCGAAGCGTGAATAATATTTCCCATTTTGAAACAAGCGGCCTCTGAAGCTGTTCCCTTCCTGTCCAGACAGCCGTCGGAATGCAGGGCAGGCGGAACGAGTCGTGCCGCGGTGTTCCCGGCAGGCAGCTGGGAGCCGGCTCGCGGGGACGCCTGGGCTTGCCGGGAACAAGGCAGCAGCAGGGCCAGGAGGTGAAGAAAATCACACATCTGGGAGGGGAAGAGGAATGCTTTTGCCTTGCTGGGAAGAGATGGGATGAGGAAGGGCGCTGGGGTTGTCAGCCTGGCCCTGCAGCCAAAAGAAACCTCGGAGTCGGATCGTAACACGCAGGTGGGCCAAGACTGCGGGTGCAAAGCGCCGGCATCAGGCTGCAGGGTTGCAGCGAATGAAGCTGGATGAGGCTGGCTTGCGTGGAAAGGAAGCTCCACCAACAGGCTCTGCATATCACACCGGCTGTCCAAGCGTTTCCAGACCCTAAAGGGACGCTGCTGTGCCAAGCAGAGCCTGCTTCCATAGTGATGTCTGCGAGAGCGGGCACCCTCGAGCCTTGGGACTCGTTCATGTTGATCCCTGTTGGGAATTAAAACTTTTATGATGCTGTGTGTTGTACGTGGTAGGGTGTTCATCCTGCCAAAATGAGAAACACCAACTGTTTTCAGTAGGATCAGTCCTCCAGCTTTAGAAAATCACCCAGGGTTTCATGTTATTTATTTATGCGGTCTCCAGATCTGCTTAGGAAAGTCTGTGTGCCCCATCCTGCTCCGGAGCACTCATGTAGTGACTTCCTGTGAAGGGTGTACACCCACACGGACAGCAGGTAGAGGTGGAGCTGCTGGAAGTGGCATCTGAACAGGGACATAAACGACACAGGTGATCTGAAGATGGTGGTGGTCTAAACACCTTGCATGGGCAACCCTAAATTTAAACAGTTTTTTTTTAAAAAAAACAAAACAAAACAACAAACCCCGTGTATTTTCAGAGCTCTGACTGTCCTAAATGTTGGATTTAGTGAGAATCGCTGAATTGAAGGGACTTAGACCACCATTTGTGTGACCTCATCCTGTAATTTCTCGCAGAATGGGGCTAGCTGATGCAACAGCCATCTTTCATCTTAGTTTAATCCACTTTCGACTCCCACGTGCGATTCTTTTTTACCTTCAGCAGCCACAAGCATCCGTTGAACCAGGACGTCGCCCCTGGGGCTGGCTTTGCTTAGGTTGGCTTCTGGGGCTTTTTCATAACTTCCATGTTCTCTTAGCATGTGACAGTGAGGAGATTTGGGGAATTTAATCCTTTTTTTTAATATGAGTAAAATTCTGTTCCTTTCGCAGTTGAAAAGCACGATCGGAAGGATGAGAGGGAAGATAGTGACAACAGTGACATCTCATTAAAAGTAGCCTCGGTTTTGCCAGGACTTCGCTATGCCTTACAGAAAACCACCAGTTCTGCCTGGGGGGACGCCGTCGCTACGAGCGTATGCATCAAACAGCACTTCCAGGAGTATGCAAAGCTTGATCAAAATCTACAGCCCACCTCTGGCCAAGCCAGCCAAGTTCTCCTTTCTTCTCCCCTCTCGCCAACCGAGGATGAATGTACTAATCCCTTCAAGAAACACTCGGCGCAGTCCTTCTCCCAGCTGCAGCGTTACCTCTCCGATCCCAGCAGCTATACTCTGGAAATGTCGGCTGCCTTAGGATGTCTGACTGGTGCTGTTCAGTCTCTTCGCTGCGATGCAGAGGCTGACTGTAAAGTGGACTTCTCTTCAGCTCTGCCACCAGACCCTACTCCTCCCAACACCGCAATGGAAAAAAAAGTCAGAAGTGGAAACCCAAAGCGCGCAGTGAGGCTGGACCAGAGTGGTGAAGGGGCCACGAAAGATGTCAACTCGGCCAGCAAGCCGTGGGTGCAGCAGAGCAGGAGAAAATCCAGCCGAGCTGTTGTGACCAGCACCAGGAAGAAATGGTCACCCCTCAAGATGCAAATGCATCCGATGGGGGACAGCGGCAGGAACAGGAGAGCAACCAAGAAGAAAAAAATCAACATAACTTTCTCTTTTCCTAAAAAGCCAGGGCTCACGGCCAATCCCAATGAGCCCATGCTCAAATTAGCCAATTTGCAGTTTCCACACAGAAGGAAAAGAGGTAAGTGGGTCTGACTTTCCTCTTACTTCTCCGGAGTATCCAGCTGGGATACTGAAGGTTCACTAGGAGCCATGTCCCCTTGCCGTCTTCCCAGGTGCCCAGAGCAGACACCTCCTGAGAGCATCCAGATAGGTCTGTGGTGACATCTCCACACTCTCATTCAACCTGGGAAGGAGCCCAGGGCTATGACAGAGGATTTCTGTGAAGGTGCCTGAAAGCCCAAGCAGTGATCCATGCTGTTTCCTTCCTTTGCATCCCTTGGCCATGGGCTGTTGCTGGCTCAGGCAAGGAGCTGGTGCCAGAACCGTGGTCATTACAGGCTGCCTAGGTAACCACCTACCCTACATGGTCACGTTGTGGCTTCCTGAGAGTCAACTTTCCTGCTGTGCCCTTGAGGAAACGAGAAGTGTGAGATTGATCACACCCAAGTTACTCTTCTGAAAGCTGGTAGCTGACCTGAGCCGCTCATGAGAGGTGTCTCAGGGGCAGAAATTGTCCCCTGAAGGTTCTTCTCTCACTGCCGAGGATAGGCTGAGACTGTCCTGTTGAGCCAGCCTGAGCTTCCACCTGATTTGGAGAGACTCAAAGTGCGTTGAGATGAATCTCAACCTTGGTGATGAAAAGTGGCCGAAAACATCCAGAGGAACCTCTCCTGGTGTTTACGTACATCACCAGTAGCGACAGTGACTGGAAAGGGGCTGTCATGCAGCACAGGAGGTGGCACAGTGTCTGCCCGCTGTGGGCTGGAGGCAGCTCCGATTCACAGTCCTTCAAGCTCCGTCCTGGGACACGTTGCCTCAGGCCCGAGTGACGTTGCTGATGGATCTGAGAGAGGTTCTGGCATGCCTCTTGGAGAAGTCAGTAAGTACCCTCAGGGTCCAAGTGTGCCAGGAAGGCATTAGGGTGACTTACCGCCAGAGAACACCTATTCTAGGTGAGGAAGGCAGGCTTTTAATGAGCTTAAGAGGTGATGTTTAATTTTTAATAACTGCTTACTGATCACTCGCATCATTAATCAACCTGTTTGTAAGATCAAATGCGTCAATCAAGTCATGGGAGCCTGTGCTGCTGCTGCCAGCCACTTCTAGAGCAGCCATCCTTAACTGGATGTTTTGCAGTTGCCCCTTTGGAATGTGAATATGTCTCAAACCAAATCAAACGCCCTCCCTTTTCCATGCCTCAGGTGCAGAGGTCCTGTCTGCAGAATTTGTGCACAAAACGCAGTCCGAACCTGTCCAGAATGAAACCTCAGCTCCCGATGATCCTGGCTTGGAAACAAAGAGACCAAAGACGCTGAAGAACTCCAACATCAAAAAGGTTCCTGTTGCTGAGACCAACACGAAGCCAGTGAAAAGTAAGATGCTAAAAAGCGTGGCTAACAGCCCGTGGAAACCTCAAGCCAAAAAGCCAGCAGAAAGTGGTAAGAGCACTGTTCCCTGTGGAAATCTTTCCTGTAAAAGTTGAACCACCAAGCATCACGGTCAGGTTGTGACCAGATGGTAGGAACGACACGTTCAGTCGCAGCCTTACAACATTCAGTGCTGAGGGTCTGGACTGGGGTCTGAGTGCTGCTGCCCCACAGCCTGCAGGCTCCCAGTTTCATACTGGTAGTGTAATATATGAAGGCAAGTGGGAAAATGACCGTTACAGGATGTCCAGACCCCACAGGGTCTCTTCTGAGTCGTTTCCTAAGCCCGTGAGTTTGCAAACTGCTGTTTAAAAAACACAGTTTAAAATCTCTAGTTTAGGGATAGTTTAAAAAGCCTGACTTTTAACTGCTGAGCTCTGAAACTGTGGTGAGGCAGCTCCTGGCCGGAGCGTTACAACCTCTGCCTGGAGTCAGCGTCCACCGGGATTTTCCGTCCGTGGCGTTGTGAATCCCGTCCTTTTTAAAAGAGTCGGAATTGTCGCAGCCAGACCGCAGCGGATTTGAGAGGCAGCGTGGGCAGCCCAGGAGTGCAGAGTCTGCAGGTGCTGGCCAGGAGTCTGCTGTTAAACTGGGAACCAGTATTTCGGTGCCAAAATAAATGGCGGAACAGGAGAGTCATTTTCTGTTAATTTGTCGTGTTTTCTCACACTCAAGCTTTGATGTCCTTTTTCAGATCTGTCTCTGGTCTTTCTTTTTTCCCCTTCCTGAGGGAGGTGGAGGCTTTGAAGTTTAGCTGCCTCGGCTCAACTTATCCATTTTTCCTGGTCTTTTTTTTGCCACGTGTTCCTGAAACGCGGCACTTTTCATCGGCGTGTTTGTATCAAACGCCACCTCGTGTTGCCCTCATCACATGGGGCTTCCTGGAGTGGATCTGGCCAGTGCTCTTGCAAGGGGCCAGTATCCCAGGGTCCAGGATCTGCCAAAAATGCAAAACAAGTGTTCAGCAGTAAGAAATACTCAATTTATACGTCTTGCTGTGCAGTTCTCAGGGAAATTAAATGTAACGTGTCGGACTTTAGCACAAATGTGATCTAATAAGGTTTTACTTGAAGGGAGATTTTTGTGCTGGTTTGTAGTAGAAGGCATTAACCTTGTTTAGTGACTTCATACTGGTTTTATGACTATGGGCCTTGAGCCGTGGCGAGGGGTGTTTTTAACACTGAAAACTAAATCAACACTTGTTTGCTGTGCTCTGGGTGCCCCCAGGTTTCTGCCTGCTGCTCAGGGGCAGGGTGTGCTCTTGAGAGCATGTGCAGTGGGAAGCATGAGGACAGGGTGGGTTTCTTATGTGTTTTAGGGTTTTTTTTTTTTGTAATTGTGGGTTATTGAAAGCATAGCGTAGGGTTTATCTGTGAAGATTGCAAATACTCAAACCAGGAGAAAATTTAAAGCAAAATAAAAAGGATTAAGGAGACACTTAAATCTTTGGTTGTATTTAAGCGGCTGAACTGCCCTGTGCACAGAGGTCAAGAGAAATTTTGTTCACTCTGGATGCTGTGCCTTTTATTTCTGAGAATAAACCCCTTCCTGAAGCCGCTTAGATTCCCAGCTCTGGATCATTTAGTAGCTGCCATGGCCTGCATGACCGTGGAGATGGAGTTTTTTTAAGTATGCAGGTTCCACGTTGGAGAGACACTTTTTCCTGCCAAACTGAAAGCCTGCTTTGACCCCTTCTCGAGGCAGAGCTGTGTGGCCTTCATTTATTCTCTGACTTTTTTTTTTTTTTCTTAGGAGCCGTTCTCTGTCCTCCCAAGTGAAGTTTCTTCCCAGTGCCACGGAGCAGATAGCCAAAGGAGTGACACTTACCAAGGCGAGGTTGCTGATCACAGTTTTGATCTGAAGGGGAACAACTATGAGTCCCACGCCTTGAACTTGCTGGCTGATCTGGCTCTGGGTTCTTGTATTCCTTCGTTTATCCCCAGGGACTGCGGGACGATCGCCGCGTCCTGCAGCCCCGCTGGTGACTCTGCAAAGGAGCAGCAGAGTCATGGCAAGCACAGACCCTTGCGCGTTGCATCCGACCACGAATACCACAGGGTAGACAAGCTTGCAAAGGGACCCTCCTCTCCTAGCAGAGCATCGCCCCACCAGAAGCTTCCTCCTG